CCCCAAAACCCCAAAACCCCAAAACCCCATCTTGTAAAATTTTGATTTAAATTGGAATTAATAGCAAATCTATAATCAATAATCATAAAATATTATCTTATAGTATTCTAAATAGTTGGTTTATATAATAATCTTAAGTTTTTCATCTCATACCCATCCTTTTTAATTGTCTTTTTCAATATTATTCACTTTGAGATTTTCTAGTGAACTACTTTAATTATGTTCGGATGATAGAATTTTAGATGAACTTTTTTGATCAGTAGATTCTTTGTTACTAGTTGAGCTCTCTATCTGATTAAAAGCCAACTATAAATCTTATTAAATCCAATCATTTTCAATTTCTGCATTTTAAGATTCTTAGTATTTATTGTAATCAAAAGCATTTACATTATTATCATCCATTTCTTCAATTATTTCTTCTACTAGCAAATCATTTTAAAGATTATCTATTGAAAATTCGCTATTTTCATTAGATCTTTTGTCTTGGCTTTAATCGTGATATTTAATCAAATTGAAATCAGCTTCCTCAGTTTGGTAAACGCCAGAGTTAGTATCTGATGAATCATCTGATATTGCGACATCAAGCTTATCCTAATGATATTATTTCTATGTCTGTTCATTTTACTTTTATCTTTTAATCTGGTTGTAGAAATCAAGTTCTCCTTTAGTCTTATTTGTGTGATTACTAGGACTTCTTGCTTTAGGGGATCTAGTCTTAAGCTTTTTATATTTTTTAATCTTGTCGATCTCGAAATAATTTTCCTCCGGCCCAATCTTAATGCTTTCTTTTATTGTATCTTGCTGCCAATTATCCCTAGTTAATTTAATCTTCAATATACTTTAATTCTTCTCATTAAATAGTTATTCACTTATAATATCGGTGTTTGTATCAAATCTACTGCTATCTTTAATTGATACTTTTGGTTATTTAGATAACTTCTACGTTTAGTTCTTTTTAATCTTATTCTTGAAATTAGAGTATTTTTGATTTTTCTAGCTGATTGTTTGATTTCTTTTAAAAGTAGAGTAATTTCTTTAAGCAGGACTCCTCTTCTCAACAAGAGAATTATTACTTGAATTTGCATTTATATTTTATCTCAGATTCAGGTCTGAAAAGTTGATATCAATTTAAGAGTCAACTGAAATCTACTAAGTATCCTCGTTTTAAGATTCGGAATCATCGTAATTGTCTGAATTAGTATCTGTAATAAATAAGTCTTTCTGATCATTTTTTGGAATACTAAAACAGAATTAAGAAATATAAATTACAGTTTTATCCTCTTGTTTCGAGATATCCTTTTTTCTCTAGCTGTTTGATCTTATACTTTTTATGTTATGCCTAGTATCTAATCAAGATTTCTCTCATCAAATAATATCTTCAACTTTGATATCACTTTCTCATTCACATGCATTTTTTTCGATTCAAAAATATTTCTAAATTGTTTAATTTATCTTTGAAATTCCTCTTCGTATTTTCTATTTATAAGCTCTAACTCATAGGCTTTTAACTCTCCTTCTAATTTACTTTTGTCAAAACAGAGACAGAGTACTAAGTAAATTTTTTAAAATTAAGACCTAAATCTCGCTCTCATTTCATAATACATTCTTATTGCCCAGTACAAGAAAAATAGTAGATTAGCTATCAAAATAACTGAAAAAAAGAATGATTAAAGTGAAGCATTAAGGCTTAGAGCTGCTATTTGGTTTTCAGGATCTGAGTCAATCCAAGATTGAGGTTAATTTAATATGAAAAAGATCCCGCAATATATAGTGACTAAAGAAGTTGCTAATGAAAGGCTTTCTAAATCATTTAGTTGTCTTGTGCTGAATGGTTAAAATTTAGTATTAATCATCAAGGACCATATGATCAATGTAAACATAAGCAGTGCTTGAGCCATAATACCGACACTACCGATGAATACAGAAACGAAAATGATTGCAATTTTTCTATACATGATTACGATTTCCCAGAAATAAAATTCTTGCTTATAGCCTCGATATAAGAATCCATATTTTTCTCTAATATGTAGCTTTTGTAGATATCCTCGATTTCTAATAAGAATAACCAATGCGAAAAACGGTATTCCAAGGACCCAAAGTATTATGCTCGGTATTGCTACAAAATAACTGAAAAATTTGTGTGCACTTTCCCAACAGATTATTTCAAGATCATCTTACACTCTTTCTTCACCATCTACATTAAGGCACTTGAAATCTCTGAAAGTATATTAAACAATGCTTGGATGTGCTAAAAATAGTACAATAACGATACTAGATATTTCTTTGCTGGACTCTTTTGATATTGTCTTCTTAATTCCATTATATATCATCCAAAACAGCTTGCAAGCTAAAGATAGGAAGAATGGCAGTAATGCCACTATCACTAATTTCATAAAGAAAATTCTGTTCTCCATCGAGCTTTCATTCTTCTCAGTTCTTGTATCTAGGAAACAATCAACACTGAATACCTAAGTTGAGACAGTAGCAACCTAATTCGTTGCTTTAAAAAAGTTCACAATTTCCTCTGACCATGAAAAATCTAGCGAAGCTGTCATTAATAATAGTTGGAAGTGATTTAGTAGAATCTTTAGATAAATACTAGTAATCTAATCTGTATTTTTAGCTCCATTCAAAGTAGATCTAATCATAACAACAACTACAAGCACTACTCCAAGAAAAATAGCAAATAGTCTGAGAATATTAAGCCAAGGTTTTGGGCAATAAGAACACTAGTATTCATTGTATTTCGAAAATCCAACTTAACAATCGGCACATAATATGCCTCTGTAACCTAAATAGCATTCTCCAACAGGATTGTTATTTGGCGGAACCATTCCTAAGCATGCTGGTTTGAACAGACAAACCTCGAAATTTTTCGTAGATGAATCCCTTCTCCAATATCCAGGCAATGGACCAATATTTGATCCTCCTTTACAAAGGGCCTTCTCACTCGGGCATGTTTCACATATTCCGGGCTCATTCTATTTAACAAGCAAGAAGCTATCTTGACACTATTGGCATTTACCTTCTGAGGTAAATTATTCTCCAATCTCACATTCTCTAAGTTTAATTTGTATTTAAAAGTTCGGATCATCGCTAGTTGCTGATTAGGATGCATTCTTGTTTGCTTATTTGTTAGTATCTATGCCATCTGTGGTTATAATAACTTTATAACTACTTCCAGGACTGCCTGTTAAAGAAACTCCTTATATCACAGCAACTCCTCCCTATGCAACAAAATCACTACTTCCTTCAAGTATTGGAGGGTATTTGCTTGCATTAGAATCAAGATTAGTAATATTTACCTATAGTCTGACCTTACTAGAGAAATCAGAACCGACTATCTGGCCATATTTGTCTAATAGTGTTGCATATAAATTTTGAATTGATCCTCCACTTCTTTGATTTTATACATTTTACTCTGTTATTGGTACTGAAGATGATGAATTTATTGCATCAAGCATTCTGTAATCAAATTCTTCAGCTGATTTTATATTTAGCTTGATCATCTAATCTTTGTATTGATTATAATTAAGCAAACCTAATTTGGATGCAAAGCAAGCAATAATATCACCATAGTACTAAGCTGAATTATTTGAGAACTTCATATTATTAAGTTAATATATTGGCTCCAAAGTGTCCCAATATATAACTCCTCCTTATATTTATGCTCTATTATCAGAGAAAGTATTGACTCCATCAAACTTTAACAAGCAATTTAGGATTTATTCATCACAAGTATAGTAAATAGCGCCACCAGCTCCTTGATTTTACTCTTGGGTTGATTAATCTTTAATAATTAGAGCTTTGTTTTCTAAAAATTAGTTATTCACAAGTACAGTAGATTGAGAATTTTATATCATAATAGCGCCACCCCTTTACGCAGTGCAGTTTTAGAACAAACTATTTTTTATTTGAAATTTCTAATTTATCTCTTATTAAGTTGAGCCTTTATTAAAATCCGATTCTGTCATGTATATTGCTCCTCCCTCAGATGACCTTAGATTTCTGAATTTAGAATTGTATATTTCTATTCCAGTGCAATATTAGCAATTTATTGCTCCTCCTCTAATAGAGTCCTTGTTCATGTAAATATCCTCAATAACAATTTAGTTAGCGTAAAGTTTAGCTTGCTCAATGTAGATTGAATTTTTAGCATTAATATTACTTATTTAAACTTAATTTAGAGTCATTAAATTAACAGAATTAGTCAAGTAAATATCTTCTCCTTCACTAACTGCTGAATTATCCTTAAAAATAGTGTTCTTACCGATATATATACTTTCAAAACCAGAGGCATATATTGAGCCCCCTTAAGATCTAGCTTTATTTTTTAAAAATTAAGATTCTTCAATATCAGCACTACTGTCTGATGAAATGTAAAGTGCTCCACCATAATAAGCAATAGCGTTACTAAATTTGCATTTTTTAATAATCAAGTTTGTGCTAAATCTCAAATATATAAATGAACCAGTGGTTTCCTCATCTTGCAACGAAGTAGTCGTATATTTTGCTAGTGAATCATCAAATATAGTATTTTCCACAGTTAGATTTGAAAACTCACACAAAATGTTTTTTGTACTCACTTAGGCTAGATTTGATTTAAAACTGCAGTCTTAAATAAGGACATTTGTATTTATGAGGGATAAAGTATTACTTGTAGCTATATTATCAAAGAAATTTGAACTTTTAATCAGAACACTATAGTCGAGATTAGATCCTTAAATTTCAAGCACAGAATTTTCAGGGGCTTTGTTTTCATTGAAATCTGAACCTCTTATTTAAAGGTTTGATTATTGTGAAAGATAAATAACACCTCCTGAAGAAGAAGCAGAGTTCATAGTAGATTAGCATTGATTAATTGTTACATTTGACTAAGAAGTAGCATAAATTGCACCTCCTATTTTTGCTTAGTTGGATATGAATTTTGACTGATAAAATACAGCTTATGATTCTTGAATATTGATAACCCCACCATTGAATCCTGAATTCAGTTAAAATGTAGACTTTTGATCGCTAAAAATAGTTCTTTATAGACTAAAAACACCTCCTGTTTAAGTCATACCACAATATCTGAATTTATTGTTTTAAGAGGTTATCTTATCTGCATTTTTTAGGAAGAAATAACTGTCTGTATAATCTGATGATAAGCTATCTTTTGATACTAGATAATTTTCAAATGTATTACATTCAAAAGTTGAGCCAGTCATGCTTATTCCAAGCTAGGGATAGAAAGAAAACATAAAGCCTCCAGATGTTGACTTAAATTCTTAAAATTAAGAATTTTAGAATGTTATGTTTGTTGCACTTGTTATACTAATAAAACCTCCGTTTATTGTTGAAGAAATTTATTGCGCATTTATATTGACAAAACTTATTTGAAGATAAGAGTTTGATGCATAAATAAATCCTCCTCTTTCAGCTCCAGTACCAATTACCTTAGAATTTTAAATCTAAAAATACGACATTTTCTTTATTTCCTCATTAACTTGTCTGAAAGCGATAAAGCCTCCATCACTAATAGCAGTACTATCTTCAATAAACGCTTAGTTTATGTAAATTGTTACCAGTCCATCAGCAAAAATTGATCCTCCATAATTTCCTTTAATGCTTTTGAAGGTTGTTTTAGTTATATTCAAATCGCAATCATAGCAATGTATTGCTGCTCCATTAGATGCTTTAATTTGCTCAAATGTTGATCCAGTGTCATTGTAAAATGTGTTTTATATGTTCATAACTAATCCTTATCCAGTTTTATAGAAGCACTATTTTATGATCGAATTTTTAGTTTTAAGTCCATAAATTGAATTTGCAAAATAAATTACTCCAACATTAGAAGAACTATATTCTTACTAAGCATTAGTAGATGAGCATTAAATAGTAGTATTACTTATTTCTATATACGCAGATAACTTATCAGAGTATAAGAAATCTCCTTAATTTTAAGGTGATCTGAAATCAACGAAATAGGAATTTTTGATATGGATGTACGTTAAATTCAAATTACTCTCATACTATATGTATAAAACTCCACCTAGATCTGTTGTTGTAATATTTTTGAGATAAATGTTATCCATTTTTATATAATCTACATAACTCTGCTGTGACATTAAACCGCCTTTTCCTACAAATTATAAATTTTGGAAATCGCTATTTTTAAGATAGAGGCTTTATTTTCTAAAGTATGTACCGAAAGTTTTAAAGACTCCACAGTCAATATGATTAAAATTTAGATTTCTTACACTAATATTTTTTACGATTCCAATTGTATTATCTTATTCCAATAATCTTTAAAAACCTCTCAAATCAAGATAGGTATTATTCTCAAAGTAATATCTAGTTAAATTGAATGAATTGAATGCTTGCTGATTCATAGATAAATTTTGATAGTATGAATTTGTATTTATAAATCTGGTAGATATTACTCTAGTATCTTATATTACAGCAAGTAGTCTTCCTAAAGGATTTTCAGAGGGAGTGAAAATGGAATAAGCTATAAAAAGACCTCTCGCCTATTCAGTTATCTTAAATTAGGTCAATGCATCAAATTTGCAATCAAATATTCTAAATTTGTCAAGATGACTCTGCCCAGTAGATACTTTACTAACTATAGGGCTGTATTAAAAGTCTTGTATATTAAATGTTGTATCAAAAAATCTACTATTACTTTCGGAATTCTAATTTTTATTTTGAATTTAATTAGCACTGCAGTTCATTGTAACATTACTTAAATAAATAGATTCTGATATTCTTTCTGCCAAAAGAACGTAGCTTTCATAGGATGTTCTCGCATTAAATATAGTGACATTAAATATTTCAGCCATCCTGACTTTTCTAATTGTTATTAAGCCTTAAAAAAAACCAAGTGTATAGTTAAGAAGGAGCCCATTTACTAAAAGTATTCCATTTGGATCATAATAACTTATTGAATTTTCGTTTCGAGTGTGACAATTTTCGACACTCATTTAGTTAATAATTAATTTAACTGCTCTTGGTTTTGTAGAAGAGTCATCTCTTTCGTAAAAAATAGGTCCAGAATATCCTTTCTAGTGTTTAAAGGTTATGTTTGTAAGGATTGTGTCTTATTCTGGATAAGAAATAAAGATTCCTGAATAGGATGAAAAATTTCCGCCCATATTGTATTCAGTCAGAATATTTGAAATTTTTATTCCTTTCATTTTATATAACTTCATAACTCCAGCATACCCACCTATACTATATCTGTAAGTACTCCCATTGTCTATGAATGTAGTGTTAATCATATCAACAACTCCAGCACTTACTTTATAATCACCATTTATAAAATCTAATTAATTAAAAGTAACGGATAGCGAATCTTTGAAATAAAAGGGCCCAAACGATGAAGAATCTAAATGAAAATTGGCTGGGAATTTATCAAGAGGTTACAAATTTTTCATAAACTAAGAAAAGCTTATTTCAATACTCGTATTATCACCTAAACTAGAAACGAAATCTCCTTAATAGCTCTTGAATATTACAAAATTAGATTCAATGATTTTAAGAGATTTTGCATTTTACAAATGAATAAAACCTCCCATTTGGTTGAAGGCTATAGAATTGTACTGAGTTGTAGATAAAATTTCAATAGAATAATCAGAATTATTCACAAAAATAGCACCTCCCAAATTCAGCGCATAAGTATTAGAAAAACCACAATTTTCAGTAAATTTGACTATTTTCTAAGTGCTATAAATTGGTGCCTATAAAGAACCATCATCTAAGTATATAAATCCTCCAGAATCGTAAGCAACTGAGTTCAATAATTAGCAATTAGAAAATACTAGTTCCAATGAATTATTTAAATAGACTGATCCTCCTTTCAAAGCAAAGCTATTATTAAAGTCTACATCAGAGAATTAAATAGTGCAGTTGTAGCAAAATATAGAACCCCCAATCATTGCTTAATTAAAATAGAACTGTGATGAAGTAATTGATGCCTTGGAGTCTGTGATTTTCATTGCACCACCCATTTATCTATTATAGCAATTTTAAAACATGCTTAATTCAATCTTGATATCTGTAACGTTCTTAAACTCTGCAGGAGAGGAGAATTGACTAGGAAAATCAGAACTAAGAAAGTTTGTCTCATTAGCTTCCAAATATGTAGTTGATGTGTATGATGAATCAAAAGACTGTGCGCTACATTATATACTGTTTGCACTAATTTCAATATAGTTTCCATTCTGCATAAATAACAATTGCCTTCCTTATATATTTTAAAAGGTAGACTAAGTGATTATTAAAGAATCAAAGCCTTATAAGTTAATCAAAGAAGGAAGTATCAAATTTGATTATGAAGCTTATTCAGTAAGCAAGGATCCATGAAAATTTACTCTAATCATCGATATTTTAGTTAAACTGTAGCTAGAATTAAGTATTTGACCTGCTGTTAACTAATTCGTTTCTTAAAAAGTAACATCAAGAAGATCAAGTTATTTAATTAGCAAGATTCTTAGAAATGCAAAGCCTGAAGCAATATAACTTATCTGAGATTATTCTATTTTAATTTCAGCTTAACTATTATTAGCAATTATTAATCCAGCCGTTCTATATTCTACTTATGTGTCCATTGAAATGTCAAAATCTATGGCTCTCATTTATATCAAATTCTGATCAGCTCCAATAATAGTTAAAAGTGACCCCTTCATAAATTAGTTAGAATCTTTTTCTATCTCTATACCCTCTAAAATTACATTTGATGCATCCTTTGCTATAATAATACTAGAATTTTGATTTCTATAGAGTGATAATATAGTTTTATTCAATGTTAAATTGCAAGAGTCGCAAAATATCATTGCCACTGGGGAAGTTGGAGGCAAATCGTTCTCGTTTTAATAGGTTAGGCCAATTAATTTAGAAGACTAATCTTGAACTGAAACCCCATTTCCTGCATATATCAAAGATTCAAAGTCAAAGATATTTGAAGTAGATATTGTGTTAGATGTCATGTTTAGATTCACAGTCCCAAAATTTTACTCTAAATTTATGAAATGTCTTGAGTTATATAGACCTAGCCATACTGAAAATGGGACATGTGCGCCCAAGTTAAAAATCCAAAACTAATCAAAAGCACTTAAGTCGATCTTATTATTTTCAAGATTAATATTCAAATTTTTAGGTATACTATTGCCTGATTATTTTAATTAAATGAATCTTCCACTTTAACCTTAGATGTTATTTAATTCTGAGCTTTTTATATTCAATTCAAGTTCAACTAAATTAGAGCCTAGAGTGATGAAGCCACCCTGTGTATTATCAATATCCAGGCTATCAACAGCAGAGTCTCTCATTTCAAAGGAAATATTAGTAGAATTTAGAACAAATATACCTTTTTATGAAGTCTAGATTTATTATAAGACTGAGTTGTATATTTCAATTGATAGTTATAAGTTATCATCTGCTTAAATGATTCCATTTATTCCGACTATTTGTTTAAATGTAGAATATCCGATTTTAATACTGTGGCAGTCATTACTGCATGCTCCAGCGAAAGGCTAAAAGCTATTGGAGTCTAAGTTGTTGGATTGGAATAATGACTTTTAGGTCATGTATATTTAGTTTAGGTAGCTATTTGAAGTAGCATAACCGTATTATTCTATCTCAGATAAATCTATCTTTTTATGTCCAATCAAACTTCCACACGTGTTTATGTTAATAAATTAGGTATTGATAACTTCTACATGACCTCCGAATTCATTGAGTTCAATAAGAGATCTCATTGAGTAGATGAAGTTTCTGAATATAACTTTCTATTAGATAGTTTTAAGGAAAATGGTTTATACCTCTAATTTTAGTAAAGGGGGTGATTTTAAAAGAGATTCACTTGATATGTCAAATTAAATGAAAGATCCAAAAGATTCTTAGCATTTCTATGATCTATAGAATTGATTACTACTGATAAAGAATGTTTAAAAGTTACGGATATGTATAAATAGTACACATTGATTCGCCTCTTAACTTATATTTTTGATATAATTCATCATAAGTAATGCTACAACATTTTTTTATAGGATTTTATAAGCATGAGTAATCATTAGAGCCTATAAGAGTTGAATCTATATTTCCTTCTCTTTCATCTAAAATGGAGTCAATTGCATCAAATTCTATATTTCTTATTGTTAGTCCACCTCCTACGTTAAAATGATATTTATCTCTAAGTTTATAGTTCACTAGGACTGGAACTTAATCTATTGAGTCAATAATAATCTTGGTTGACTGAGAATTTCTGTCTATTTATTCATTTAGTCTTAGTTTTGTATCATATCTCATCATTGAATGAGTTTAGTTTGAGAATAGTAGAATGGTGATAGTTGCTTATTCAAATGGTGCCCCTAACTCATAAGCTCGATTTATAGCAGTAATAAGTGATCTAAAAGGATAATCTACTGATCCATCTTCAATTATTTCTTCTTAAAGTTCTGAAAAAATTGACTAGACATGCAAGTTTCCAGCAAATTATCCTGCTTTTTTAAGACACTGTCCAGTTCTTTTATTCTAATTGGTTACACTTAGGTAGTAGTCTTGCTTGCAAGTAGTACACTCTGTTTCTGAGCTACACTCTAAGCAGTTTATGTCACACTATAGGCATTGAGTTGTCGAAATAGCTCCTTTTGAATTATAAGTCACCTAGCCATATTTACCAGAACTGCACTTATTCACGCAACTCTGTAAAAAGGAGTCATAGTATCCATCAAAGCAAGCAAGAGTAGTTTATTTCCTCTGATCTGGTGAAGCCTAATCAAAATGAAACTCGCATTTCAGAACTTAGACTAGAGCACCTTCCATTTATTAACATTCTATTTTTATTAATTAAATATGCTTACTATAACATAAGCTTTCTCCGCTATTATTAAATAACCCATATCCGTAAATGCAGTCTTAGCAATAATTTTAACCTGTGGCTATTTGACATAAATTTTCTTGGGAATCTAATTATGGTTAGCATATAAATATAAGCCTTACATGGCAGACATTAGTTTTATCCTTCATTTGATCCTTGATAATAACCTTGTTTACATTGCAAGCAGTTAGCCTGATTTTAATAATCATAGATCTCACAATTCAAATCAGAGCTAATGTCTGATTGAGTTAAGGGAACTAATAAGATTTAAATCATTGTTTTACCGCATTAGTTCTCTGAGTCTCCAATCAGCAATGACATTTGATTGACGGGATAGCTACATTCCAAACACTGATTAAGATTTTAGTTTGAGCATTCTTAACATTCAAATTGAGTTTAGCATTCTAAATATGGTATTATTAGAATATCCATTTTACTTTAACATATTTTATAACCATCACCCATATACGGATCAAAACTAGTCCCTTGTGCACTTGCTGACCAACCTTTTTTATCTGTTTCACCTTAGCAATCTAGACATCCATCTTTTAAATTGCAATTGGTACAAGATATTCCACACCCTTTTATTTGTTATAAAAAGAATTACATTAGATGATTGTCAGTAAAAGATTAATGAGCTTGAGAACAGGAAGGTGTGCAGTAAGAATATCAAGTTAATAAACTATCTATTTCCCAATAATATGAGAGTAAACTTAGTCCATCTCCGCAAATGTAGCATTGAAGAGTTGTTTCACCTCCATTTTCCTCAAATCCACAATACTCACAACCAAATATTGCTTTATTACATGCTGTTAGAGAGTTAAGTTTTAAGAATACTTACGAATACAGGACTCTGATTATTATTCATAAAATTAGTTTTATTCACCTAGTTAAGCATGTTTATATTTAAAGAGACTTACAATCTTATGCAATTACAAGAGGAAAAGTCAATGTTGTTAACATATATAAGAGTGCAGATATCCTTAAAATTTTAAACGATTTAGCTATTGATTAAATCATTTTACTATCTCACACTGTGATTATATTTTAATTATTTTTTAATAAATCATAAATATAAAAAATTTTTCTTTAAGGGGTTTTGGGGTTTTGGGG